CAGCCCTGTCTCCAGGACCAAAACCAATAAAAATTTCAAGTCTGATGAATCTATCCAGCTTAGGAACCATATTCTCAGATCAAGTGACCTATGACCCTGGCATTTACAATGATTTGAAGTTAAATTCTACAGACATGATTTGGGATCTTGTTCTTGAGAAGTTTTTTATCACTGTTTTTCTCTCTGGTCTAATAGTTTCAAAGAACCTACACCGATAATCTCTTAATATTGGGCCATATAAGGGTGTACGACTTCCTGTAAGTAAACCCATGCCCAAACTATCCTTGTGATTGTCAATGACTACTGTTCTGTGCTTGCTCCCCTTCTGTTAGGTGCTCATTATATCATCTTGGATTCACCGGAGCTTTCACTGAGTTTTACTTTATTCAGGGAATTCCCATAACCCTTGACTATTATATGTGCTACCAGAAGATAACTGGTAGCACAGAAGATAACAATTGTTTAATTATCCTGAGATATTTACTGAAAAGAGTGAAAACACATAATCTCCTCAAAACCTGAAAAATTAAGAGGATGACATACTTTAATTTCAGTCTAATAACCTCTATTAACATTTTGTGGCTTAAGTTTTTATTGTATTTTTCTTCTGTTTACATTTAGATAGCTTTAATTAGAGTATGCATAGTTGAATGGCCTCTTTCCTATTTTTTTTTTCAATTCCAATTAGTTGCATCTGTTACTCACTTTACACTCATTTTCAAATTAGAAATTATGGGATAATCTATTTATTGACTAATTTATTCATTCTTTCAACATGCAATTATTGAATATCTAATGTTTAACAGTGACACCAGGATTGAAGCCATTAACCTAACCTTGAATTTAAAAAAAAAAAAAGAAAAGAAAGATATATATGATTGTAGAATGATACTGTTTTCAGTTCAGTTCAGTTCAGTGGCTCAGTCATGTCCAACTCTCTGTGACCCCATGAACCACAGCATGCCAGGTCTCCCTATCCATCACCAACTCCCGGAGTTTACTCAAACCCATGTCCATAGAGTCGGTGATGCCATCCAACCTTCTCATCCTCTGTCGTCCCCTTCTCCTCCTGCCCCCAATCCCTCCCAGCATCAGAGTCTTTTCCAATGAGTCTACTCTTCGCATGAGGCGGCCAAAGTATTGGAGTTTCACCTTCAGCATCTGTCCTTCCAACAAACACCCAGGACTGATCTTTAGGATGGACTGGTTGGATCTCGTTGCAGTCCAAGGGATTCTCAAGAGTCTTCTTCAACACCACAGTTCAAAAGCATCAGTTCTTCAGTGCTCAGCTTTCTTCACAGTCCAACTCTCACATCCATACATGACCACTGGAAAAACCATAGCCTTAACCAGACAGATCTTTGTTAGAAAAGTAATGTCTCTGCTTTTTAATATGCTGTCTAGGTTGGTCGTAACTTTCCTTCCAAGGAGTAAACGTCTTTTAATTTCATGGCTGCAATCACCATCTGCTGTGATTTTGGAGCCCCCCCAAAATAAAGTCTGACACTATTTCCACTGTTTCCCCATCTATTTCCCATGAAGCGATGGGACCAGATGCTATGATCTTAATTTTCTGAATGTTGAGCTTTAAGCCAACTTTTTCACTCTCCTCTTTCACTTTCATTAAGAGGCCTTTTACTGTTTTTAGGTCTTATCAATAATCTACAGATACTATTTTATGCAGCCAAGTTTGAAAAAAAAAATTTTGTACCAAACCATATTTTATTTCATTTGAAAAAGTAAAATTATTAAACCTGTATATTAGCCTTGTTCGCTTTGTATATGTAGTCAAGAGAGGAAAAAAAGACTTGCTTGCTTAATTCTATTCGAGTCTGCTTGTTTTATTACAGTCACAGTCAAAGCAATTCTATTCATTTTATAATAATTGAATTCTAATGTTCCTGCATTGTTTAGTTAAAATAGTTTTCTCTATAAACTGTTCCTTTGTTCCTACTATGACATGCTTCTGTTTTAATAAACACTATTAAATATTCTAGTTTTTTTCTTATATGTGCTTTAGTATCACCAATTTTAATAGTAATTTCACTTAATTAGCTTTAAAAAAAACTATCACTGTCCAAGGTTGCAAGTGTGTGATTTCCCCCACTGGAAACTAAATATTTAATACTATGAAACTTTTATGCAAGAATATCATCACAGAAGTCTCCTGATAGCTATTCTTGTCAAAGTTATTTCTGGAATACTAATTCAGCCTTAAATTCTACTTCTTTTTAATAACCACATTTCTTCTTTAATGAATTCATTCAAATTGAAGACAAAAGGCACAAATAAAAAATATATAATGCAGGGAAGTTTAGACTTCCACATCCCCAAATGGGTTTACCTAAGCATCAGTAGAGACTGGATATTTTAAGATTCTTTTAAAGAGAAAATTAACATCTTATTAAGGCATTACTTTATAAAATCTTATATTTGCACAATGTTAAATTAATACACACAGCTATATAAACATCTTTATCTTTACGAAAACCAAGTAGCTATATACATATTTGTTTGGAGTTAGAAGGAAAACTAAAACACTTTCAAATTTTACCTTCCCTTGCTTTATCTTCATTTTCTTGCCAACTTATCAGTTTAATTTGCTATCTCAGCTTCATCTTTTAAGTCCTTAAATGTATATATTCCTCAAGGTCTGATATTGTTTCTTTTTCCTTCTCTCTTTACTTTCAGACTTTCCAATTCCTCAGAGGTTTAGCTAATCACAGACAAATATTTGCTCCAACCTTTTACCCTGAGAGCTGGCTCCAATTTTCAGGCTATCAAATTCAACTTATCCACAGCCAGTTCATATTCACTTGCACTAAGGCAACAAAGATGTCCATTATTGTGTGGCCTGAATCCTGTCACTATGGTGATCAATATAAGCAGCTGTGAAAGTTAATGACAGTCACATGAACATCATGTTGAGTAAGAGAAAAACCGATCATGACTGTAATATACAGGACAAAGTAGACACAGATAATTGTTAGGTATATAATGATGGTTTATTCAGGTATAATAAAGGGCTTCCCATTGGCTCAGTGGTAAAGAATCACCTGCCGATGCAGGAGGTGCAGGTTCCATCCCTGAGTCAGGAATATCCCCCTCGAGTAAGACAAAGCAGCCCACTCCAGTATTCTTGCCTGGGAAATCTCAGGGACAGAGGAGCCTGGCGGGCTACAGTCCACGGGGCCACGAAAGAGTCAGACATGACAGTGGCTAAACAACAACATTCAAGTCTAAAATGGTGAAGACTAGAATAAAGGGACACTTGGTCGTAATAATGAATAAATGAAGTTGGGGAGAAAAATCCTCAAAGCGTTAGAAAATAATCTTTGCATGGTATTATGCACTCAATGGGGTCCTGCCACAATTTATATGCTGAAGGCCTAACCCCCAGCACCTTAGAATGTGACTGTTTGGGAGACAGGGCTTTTAAAGAGATGATTAAAATGAGGTTGTTAGGGTGGACTTGAATCCAATCTGACTGCTGTTCTTATAACAAGGGAAAGTTTGGCTATTTGGATAAAATGTGCATGAAAATCTGGATACACAGAGAGCAAGGGAAGCGGGTGCACTGCAGAAAGCCCGTGCGATTCAGCAAAAAGGTGGACATGTGCAAGCTGAGGAGGGAGGCTTAGAAAAAAGCAAAGTTGCTGACACCTTGATTTGACACCTTCTGCCTTTCAGAATCTGAGAGGTAAATGTCTAATGTCTATCGTTAGAGCCATCCAGTCTCTGATACTTTGTTACGGCAGCCTGAAAGGCTAACGCGGATGTCCATCAAAGGAGATGAATATAACACATGATAGAACCCATTGAAAGGCATCAAGCAGTCTGACTCAGAAATGGGATTATTAGGGTTTGGATCAGTACATTTTCAATCGACTTTAAATAATGTCTATGGTTATATTGTAGGTGTTAATTATGTCTTTCAAATGGTAAGAAAATCTATTCATTCCACATGTAAGAGATAAGGCATAGTTATACACTTTTATTAATTTCAGCCTAAATGACCTTCCCTTGGCATATTTTTCATGTTCTCTCTCTTGCCCACGTTTCTCTTATACTCACTTCCCTCTCTACCACCATCTTCTTATCTCATTCTCTTCTAAGTCAATTTTCTCAAAATGGTAGTTCATAAAATTAACCTGCATTCCCATTTACTCTCCATCACCTTGAAATCAGCACATGATTTCATGGCTGTTCCTACAGAACCTGTATTTCAGGGCTCTGTGCCAAGAAGTTGGGTATGAGACCACTTCTGAGGCTGGAGGAGAGACATATGATCCAGCTCTTATTCTCTTCTTACTTTCAGCATTCCTCTGAATTTTATCTGAGAGAACCAGTATCATCTAGCCAATACCAGTAGGCCCAATTTAATTCATTTATCATTGGATTCTCATGTACATAGACAATTGTTTATTAATTCCTTCTTCACCCTCTTTTCTTCCTCAGATAATTTAATATCATCTTCTCCTTGCTTCTGTTTCCCTCTGACTTTTCTGAATATGTCCCTTTTCAGCACTTCTCTTTTTTTTCCACCTGTAGTTTACACACACTGGCCTCATTTTACCATCTGATTGGCAGATCTGTGTTCTTCTTAATATGTGTCTCCCTTGGATCACTTCTTGAGGCTTCAAGCTACATCTTATACTGTTTGTTCTTCCTCCCTTCTCAATTTATATCTATTTCCAAATCATCTCCAAATCAACTTATTCCCTGAACTTAAAATCCAAATCATTGCTGGACAGTTCCTCCTGAATGTGCCTTTAGCATCTGAGGGCACATATTCCCAATCTCAAAAGATGACTCTGCTGTCCACAAAGTCATCTCTATACCTTAGTGTCAGCCTATGCACAACCGGCAAATCACTGCACATTTTCACCCTGAACTCATTCAGAATCAACTCTCAGAAATTGCTCACATATTTATTCTATTGCTGTGATATGTACTCAAGAACTGCATGCAAATAATAATTTTTAATATTCATAACTCACCATGTTTATGGGATCAACTGGTCCAATGCTGTTTACATAAACATCAGTTTCAATTACTGTGGGTCTCACTGCAAAATACCAATACAAAGAATGTTCAAAGATATAATCAAAGTTGGTGTTAAATCTTATTTAAATAAGTTTTACTAATCATTAATACTTTATCATTTTAGTTATAAAACATTTTGCACTATGAAATGAAGAAGCATGACTCATTATATAAACACAACAATCTTTTAAGTCAATTATATAACTAAAAATGACCATTTTTGACCAAAAATATTCTAGTGTATAGCCTAAAAATGTTAAAACTGTTCAAACCTTCCATGAAAATTAATAAAGTTAATTCAGTTAAAAATGTTAGATGATTTACTCTGCAACAGTTATAGAATTTAGGATCGGATGGATTTTAAGCCTAAATATTGTTATGTAAGCCTGTGCATGCGCACATGTTCGGTCGCGTCAGTCGTGTCCGATTCTTGGCGACTCTATGCACTGTAGCCGTCCAGGCTCCTCTGTCCATGGTATTCTGCAGGCAAGAGGGAGCGGGTTGCCATGCCCTCTTTCAGAGGATCTTTCCGACCCAGGGATCAAACCCGCGTCTCCTGCATTGCAGGTGAATTCTTTACTGCTCGGCCACCTGGGAAACCTGTTAATATACTTGGTGCGTATCAGTGGTGTCTAGCAAATGTTACCAAGCTTCTTCTGAGAGATGAGCAAGAAAGCCCTGATTTGTACCGTTTGCTGATTTCAGTGTTGCGACAACTCCCACAATGACTGGTGTAGAAATGCCACTGTGAAGTCCCTGAGTGCAAAGTGGGACAATATGCAATTAGTGGCTATTGTGAGCCAGTACAAACCAGTTCCAGCAACACTAGAATCTGAAGCACAGTTATGATGATTAAAGGAGGTGAAGAATGTAAAGCATCTACCTCTAGGTCTGATTATTATCAAGAGCATAATCGATGTATTTACACCTCCTTCCTCCCTTGTTAACAATATTCCTTGGGATTGTTTACAGCTGGCTCCAAGGAAAGGTGTATTTGCCTCTAATTCTGAGTACACTGGATAGCCACCGCTGTGAGCTGCATCTGTTGTGCTTTGTACGCAGCCATTTGTGCTTTCTGAGTTAGTCTTTGAATGTCTATAGTCTTATATTCTATCAAAAAGGTGTAGTATAGGTCAGCCTTTTAAACATTTACTGAACGATATGATTAACTAATACCCTCTATAGTGAATATTTTATGATTACTAAGTAGTGATTGTGATTTAGGCTTTCTACCTTTGTCAGGTATTTTTGGCTTCCTATAATGAGATTTACCAAAGTAATGATAATTTATACTCATGAGATATTTCTGTTTACTATGAAAAACATTTTCACATAGTTTCTTTTTATTCCCTACTCCCCCAAAGGTTCATTTATTGATTCCACAAATACTTGTTGAGGAATATATGTAAAAGTTTCATAGGCAGATGGGAAGGGAATAAACACTGTGAGAAAAAATCTGTAATAGATCTCATAGAGATTTACAAAGAGATAATGCAAACTAATGCAGAAAACCCACCTTGGACATTAAAAGTTTCTAAAGTAAGCATGTTTCTAGAAATATTTATTCAGTCATCCTTTCTGGATAACTTTATGTGATTTCCCTTTCTGGCCCAGTGTTTATTATTCTTACCATGCAAACACTATATTAGACCTGGCAGGATGAATCTTCTCCTTTAATATGTAGCTGAGTCTGCCTGTCTGATTCCCTAGCCTGTCCCAAATCTCCCTGTCTTGGTAACCTACTCTGGCAGAGCCTCCAGGCTGGTAAGATTCCATGGAAAACTTAAGGTATTTTGGGAAACAGTGCTTATATTATTTTAAAACCATATTTATTTTCAATCTTTGAAATTAGAAAAGTCTCAGTATGCAAAACTATAGGTTTCTGGGCTTGAGTGCTCACTTGCTCAGTCCCACTCTTTACATCTGGCTCTGTGACGCCACGGACTGTAGCCTGCCAGGCTCCTCTGTCCATGGGATTTTCCATGCAAGAATACTGTAGGGGGTTGTAATTTCCTCCTCCAGCTATAGGCTTCTAGACTTACACAATACATGGCAATGTAATTGTATCTACTAACCAACAATTAGATTTCTTAAATAAAAGTAGGTCCTATAAAGTAGAGAAGGTTTTATAGCTTAACTTAAACTGATGACTTCCAAATGAGTTCTTTTAATCAGCTGCCATTTATTTTTGACTAGCTATGAGTTGTAACCAATAAATATCATGTTATTAAGCTAATTATAGCTAGATTCAGAGTGGTTTTTATGCAAGTCAATTAATAAGACAAGAGGTTTATCAGTTTCATTTGCAAGTACATTTATTACTAGTTATAAGCGATTAAGTGCAGTGTACCTGTCTTATTTGATTAGATTTTTGGTTCATCTGATAAACCAACAAACACTGAATACCCACTCTTAACTGCATGATACTTGGGGCTGAACATAGTCTATACCAAGAACTAAATGATTCTTGAGGACATTATTGGGCTTCCCTGATAGCTCAGTTGCTAAAGATTCCATCTGCAGTGCAGGAGACCTAGATTTAATCCCTGGGTTGGGAAGATTCCCTGGAGAAGGGAAAGGCTACCCACTCCAGTATTCTGGCCTGGAGAATTCCATTGACTGCATAGTCCATGGGCTTACAAAGAATCAGACACAACTGAGCAACTTTCACTTTCACTTTCAATCTTTAAAAATATGAGCATCTTTCCATCTGCCTGTTGACCAGCTACATGTATTCTTTGGAAAAATGTCTATATCCATCTTCTGCCTATTTCTGGATTGGGCTATTTGTTATTTTTCAATATTGAGTTGCAGGTACTGTTTGCATATTTTGGATATTAACTCCCCATTGGTCACATCATTGCACATATTTTCTCCTATTCCATAGGTTGTCTTTTTGTTTTGTCAGTGATTTCCTTTGCTATGCAGAAGCTTTTAAGTTTAATTAGGTACCAATTGTTTATATTTTGCTTTTATTTATTTCTCCTCAGGGTACTAGTCTAAGAAAATATTGCTACAATTTATGTCAGAGAATGTTCTGCCTATGTTCTCTTCTTGGAGTTTTATGTTGTCATGTTTTTTATTTAGGTATTTAAGCCATTTTGAGTTTATTTTTGTGTATGGTATGAGGGAGGTTTCTAATTTCATTGATTTATAAGTAGTTGTCAAGCTTTCCCAATACCAGTTTTTGAAGAGACTTAAGTCATTTATTACATATACTCTGAGATGAAAAGATAAAATGCTACTTTATACTGTATATTTAGTTGTTGCTGTTCAGTTGTTAAGTCGTGTCCGACTCTTTGTGACCCTGTGAACTGCAGCACGCTAGACTTTCCTTTCCTTCGCTGTCTCCTAAAGTTTGCTCAAACTCATGCCCATTGAGTCATTCAACCATCTCATCCTCAGTTACCCTTTCTCCTCCTGCTCTCAATCTTTCCCAGCATCAGGGTCTTTTCCAGTGAGTCAGCTCTTCACATCAGGTGGCCAAAGTATCAGAGCTTCAGCTTCAGCATCAATCCTTCCAATGAATATTGAGTGTTGATTTCATTTAGGATTGACTGGTTAGATCTCCTTACTGTCCAAGGAACTCTCAAGAGTCTACTCAAATGCCAATTTGAAAGCATCAGTTCTGTGCTCAGCCTTCCTTTGGCCCAACATCCATACATGACCACTGGAAAAACCATAACTTTGACTATATGGACCACTGTCGGCAAAGTGATGTCTCTGATTTTTAATATGCTGTCCAGGTTCCCATAGCTTTCCTTCCAAGAGTAAGTGTCCTTTAATTTCATGGTTGAAGTCACCATCCAAAGGGATTTTGGAGCCCAAGAAGAGAAAATCTGTCACAATATCTACTTTTCCCCATCGATTTGCTATAAAGTTATGGGACTTGATGTCATGATCTTAGTTTTTTGAATACTGAGTTTTAAGCCAGCTTTTTCACCCTCTTCTTTCACCCCCATCAAGAGGCTCTATATTTAAATAAAAATTAATTAAGTAAACTTGAATTTAAATGTACTTGCTTAGTCATACTAACACATTTCAATACTCACTAGTCAATAAGCATTTTCAAATATCCAACACTCATAAATATAAGGCTATTATTAATATATATAACATATAATTAATACATATAAATTTAATTATTGAGAGTGTCTTGTTAGAGAATGAAAGACTGATCTCTAATTCTGAATAAATGTCTCTTTAGGCAGAAGGCTGAGCAGCTTACCCCTGGGCTTGCACCTAATCAGGGGTAAGAAGAAGAGGCATGGCAAGATTTAAAGACAGAGAAGCACCCACACTTTAGAATGTCTCAGTTCAGCTCAGTCGCTCACTCACGTCCGACTCTTTGCAACCACATGGACTGCAGCACTCCAGACGTCTCCATCCATAACCAACTCTTGGAGCTTGCTAAAGCTCATGTCCATTGAGACCGTGATGTCATTCAACCATCTCATCCTCTGTCATCCCCTTTTCCTCCTGCTTTAAATCTTTCCGAGCATTAGGATCTTTACAAATGCGTCCATTCTTCACATCAGGAGGCGAAAATATTGGAGTTTCAGCTTCAGCATCAGTCCATCCAATGAACACCCAGGACTGATTTCCTTCAGGATTGACTGGCCATCCGAGGGACTCTCAAGAGTCTTCTCCAACACCACAGTTCAAATAAATCAATTCTTTGGGGCTTAGCTTTCTTTATACTCCAGCTCTCACATTCATACATGACTACTGGAAAAAACATAGTTTTGACTAGATGGACCGTGGTTGGCAAAGTAATGTCTCTACTTTTTAATATACTGTATAGGTTGGTCATAACTTTCCTTACAAGGAGCAAGCATCTTTTAATTTCATGGCAGAAGTCACCATCTGCAGTGATTCTGGAGCCCCCAAAAATAAACTCTGTTACCTTTCCATTGTTTCCCCATCTATTTGCCATGAAGTGATGGGACCAGATGCCATGATCTTAGTTTTATGAATGTTGAACTTTAAGCCAACTTTTTCACTCTCCTCTTTCACTTTCAT